TACTAGAATTTGACAGAGTACGAGCAGAAAATTTCAATACACATTGGCCTTGTCAGTGGTATGTGAAATCTGGAAGCTCACTCATTTTCTTAAGTGTTTTGGAAAAGTACAACATGACTAAGACAAATAGTAGTGGGGATTTAGTGGTGGTAATACATGTCATGACTAGCTGTATGAAAGTCTCCAGGAACCCATATCCAATCAATGCTTCAGCTATGAACTCCCAACTCACCATGTTGTATGCCTTTCCTTAAATTTATTTTTATTAAATATCTTGGTGATGTTTTCATGTTATTAGGACTAACTCTTCGTCATGGATCTTATAAGAATCAGAAAATACCAACAACATTGATAACATAAGAATAAGAGAAGTAACATCAACATCAATCATTCCATAAGAAGGGAAACAATGTAAGTACTGCTAGCTTCTAAGAGTGGAGTATCTTTGGAAGCTCGTTCATTACACTATGTACAATCGGAGTCGTACAAAAGAAGGAAAGGGATAGCCTCACATACCTTTTATATACTTCCCAACCTCAAGCTATGAAAATGTCATGACTCCTTAGTGTACAATAAGAGAAATGATACTATCGCTATCGTTTAAGTGTCGTAACTATTATATATTGAGCGCAACCTATTTTATGATGAAACGGACAGCGCCTCCCCTATTTATATGACTTCTCACAAGTTAAAACAATCACCAAACAGCCCAAACAACATCAATAATTATCATATTAAGCCTCCCAAAACAGTCCACTAACCAACAACATTACTAACAAGCTTTTCGATAGATATCTCAGAAGTTCTAACTTCAACGACTTAGCTGCAACTTGGATAATCTTAAATACACGTATAGTAAGAGGTTACTTACCTTTAAACATATAGAAAAACTCCAATTTGACCTTACTTCGCCACGAAATATCCTTCCAATGCTGCCACAAGAACAAAGAAGCGAAACTAGCAATCAATTCGGGTTTTTCGGCACTAGAATCACTTTGGAAGACTTGAAATCACCTAAGATTGATATTAAAAACTTGAGAGAGTATTTTACAGAACTTAACTACCTAAAACAAACTCTCACGCGAGCTGGAACCCCACAAAAATCATCAACAACAAGAAGAACAAGAAACTTACTAGTGCCACGGGATTCCCGACACTTGATTTGTAGTATTTGCCCTTTGTTTGGGTCTTGGATAATGAGAGAACCTTGAGAGAGAGTTTTTAGGTGTCTAGGGTCTGAAGAGAGTGAAAATGAATGAGTTAAAACGGGCTTAAGGTATCGCATATGTATCAATATATATCTCAACCGCTTATATGGGTCCCATAGAATGCTGCTTGCGCAGTATCGACGAACGGTTTAATGCGTTGGAAACTAGACTCACATATATTCAAATTGGTGGGTATATAACCCCATAATTCTAAGTAAATTGGGAGAAAAGCTTTGTAACATTTGACCTAAAGTTTAAGTAAAATTATGAATGTAAGTTGCGATAACTTTTATCGACTTTTGTTTCATAACTCGTATAACTTCAAGACTTATGATACGGATATTATATGATTCAAATACCTTAAAACACGACCTCCTGAGAATATTAAGCACCTCTAGTTTCACCCGAAAATATGGGTTACAATATCCTTGATTCGTTTAACTTCTAATACTTGTTAACCACTCTTATACACCCTTGTATCATTTAAGACCAATTGAATTAACTTATTATCATCTCAAAGATAATCTCTTCTCGAATTTACGTCGACTAACTTACGGCGTGATCTAACATACGTGAATATGGGTTGTAACACCCTCCCTTCCTTAGGAACATTCGTCCTCGAATGTAAGGATTTATGGGGAGTCTAACTCATCGTGGATTCCAACGAAAATTTCCGGCCGAGTTTCCCCTATAAAATGGACACTAGCCAAACTTGCAAGCGGTTAAAACCAATCTATGGCCTCACAAGGCTATACAAAGCATTATGGATATGTACATTATCTGCATATCACCATTTTGTATTAAGGAAGAGTATTCTCAAGCTATTGCTTACCTCATAGAGCCATTTCAGCTTCCATTGCGTCTTGTGTTCCCCCGGCATCCTCGTTATCATCAATCTGGAATAGGTAAGGGTATTTAGACTTCATCTCCTCTTCTGCTTTCCATGTCATTTCTTCTGTATTCTTGTTCCTCCACAATACTTTGATGGAACCTACATCCTTTGTTCTCAGCTTGCGGACTTGTCGATCTAATATAGCCACTGGCACTTCTCTATATGATAGATCCTCCGTAACTTGTACATCTTTGATAGGGACGAACCGAGAAGGGTCTCCAATACATTTTCTCAACATAGATACATGGAATACCGGGTGGACAAATTCTAATTCGGATGGCAATTCTAACTCATAAGCAACCTGTCCAATTCGTCGAAAAATCTTGTACGGCCCGATATACCACGGACTCAGCTTACCCTCCTTCCCAAAATGCATAACACCCTTCATCGGTGAGATCCTCAGGAAAACCCAATCACCAACCTCAAACTCCAGATCACGATGTCGGACATCGGAATAAGACTTTTGCCTGCTTTGCGCCGTCCTCGGTCGTTCTTTTATCACTTTCACCTTCTCAATGGCTTGGTGAATCAAATCTGGCCCATATAATTCTGTTTCACCGACTTCGAACCATCAAACTAGTGATCTATATCTCTTCCCATACAGCGCCTCGTACGGGGCCATTTTAATACTGGAATGGTAACTATTATTGTAGGCTAATTCTATGAGTGGCAGATGGTCATCCCAATTCCCCTTGAAATTCAGAACACATGCTCATAGCATATCTTTGAGTGTCTGAATGGTGCGTTCAGCCTGTCCGTCAGTTTGCGGATAGAATGCAGTGCTGAGATTCACTTGTGTGCCTAAACCCTTCTGAAAAGACCTCCAAAAGTTAGTCGTAAATTGAGCTCATCGGTCTGATATAATAGATACCGGCACACCATGAAGCCTAACAATCTCCTTGATATACAATCTTGCATAATCTTCAGCTATGTAAGTTGTCTTAACATGCACAAAATAGGCAGATTTTGTAAGTCGATCAACTATCACCCAGATGGAGTCAAACTTATGATAAGAGCGAGGTAATCCAATAATGAAGTCCATATTGATCACCTCCCATTTCCAGGTCGGAATCTCTATATTCTGAATCAATCCACCGGGTTTCTGATGCTCGATCTTTACTTGTTGACAATTAGGACACTGGGCTACAAATTCTGCAATAAACTTCTTCATGTTATCCTACCAATACAGCTCCTTAACGTTATGATACATCTTTGTCGAGCCGGGATGGATGGAATATCGGGACTGATAAATCTCAATCATAATCTTCTCTCGCAACCCTACCATATTAGGCACACATAATCGGCCTTGGTATCTCAGTGCCCCATCTTCTCGGATCTCAAAAGTTGTAATCTTACGTTGCAGAATGCCCTCTCTCAATACTAAGGTAGGATCTTCATATTGTCGTGTTTTTACCTGGGCTACCAAAGATGATTCTATTGTATTCTGTACAGTAACACCTCTATCATTAGAGTCTAACAATCTGATTCTCATATTGGCCAGCTGATGAAGCTCTTTAGTCAACCCTTGTCTACCTGCCTCAATGTGTACTAAGCTTCCCATTGACTTACGACTGAGAGCGTCTGCCACAACATTGATTTTACCGGGATGGTACAATCTCGACATCGTAGTCTTTCAGTAATTCAAGCCACCTACGCTGCCTCAAATTCAACTCGTTCTGCTTGAAGATGTATTGTAAAGTCTTGTGATTTGTGTAGATGTCAACATGGACGCCATATAAGTAGTGTCGCCATACCTTCAAAGCATATATTACTGCAGCCAATTCCAAATCATGAGTCGGGTAATTCTTTTCATATTTCTCCAATTGTCTCGATGCATAAGTAATCGCCTTCCCACGTTGCATCAATACGCACCCCAAACCTATACCTAAGGCATCACAATATACCACATAATCTTCTGTTCCTTCTGGGAGAGTGAGCATTGGCGCGGATGTAAATCGATTCTTTAGCTCCTGAAAACTACGTTCACAAGCGTCAGACCACTGGAACTTGGTAGCTTTCTGTGTTAACTTAGTCAATGGTGCTGATATAGAGGAAAACCATTCTACAAACCGCCTATAATATCCTGCTAGCCCCAGGAAGCTGCGGACTTCTGACGGTTTTGTAGGTCTCGGCCAATTCTTCACTGTATCGATCTTCTGAGTGTCGACACTAATACCATCGTCAGATACCACATGGCCAAGGAATGCTACTGAGTTCAGCCAGAATTCACATTTGGAGAGCTTAGCATATAACTTACGATCCTAAAGGGTCTATAATACTATCCGCAAGTGGCCCGCATGTTTCACCTCCGAACGAGAATACACCAGAATGTCATCAATGAATACGATCACGAACACGTCAAGATAGGGTCTGAATACACTATTCATGAGATCCATAAAAGATGCTGGGGCATTTGTTAGCCCGAACGACATCACCAAGAACTCAAAGTGCCCATATCTTGTTCGGAAGGCCGTCTTCGGAATATCTTGTTCGACGAACGGTTTAATGCGTTGGAAACTAGACTCATAGATCTTCTATTTAGTGGGTATATCACCCCATAATTCCAAGTAAATTGGGAGAAAAGCTTAATAACATTTGACCTAAAGTTAAAATTATGAACGTAAGTTGCGACAACTTTTGTCGATTTTTGTTTCATAACTCATTTGACTTCAAGACTTATGATACGGATATTATATGATTCAAATACCTTAAAACACGAACTCCTGAGAATATTAAGCACCTTTAGTTTCACTCGAAAATACGGGTTACAATATCCTTGATTCGTTTAACTTCTAATACTTGTTAACCACTCTTATACGCCCTTGTATCATTTAAGACCAATAGGATTAACTTCTTATCATCTCAAAGATAATCTCTTCTCGGATTTATGTCGACTAACTTACGGCGTGATCTAACGTACGCGAATATGGGTTGTAATAATCTTAGTATTAAATATCAAGAGTATTTGCTAGTCTTCCACGTTGAACCTTTCTTGTGATAAGGGTTGCCTTTTATTACTCGTAATAGAAATTTGGGAAATTCCAGATCGGAAAGCAGCAGTACCACAACCAGGTACCAGTAGAATTTACCGGGAAGTTCATCAAGCACTAGAGATTTTGCTTGAAGTTTGCGGGACTCTTCTGTTTAAACTTCCAAATTTTAGGAAGTAAAATAGTGCTCAAAAGTGATATTCCACTTGTTGCTAAATGGCCAATAGTTTCACTCTATTAATCAGGTTTTTTCTTGAACCAAGTATGCGACTTCTCGTTGTCAGTTCTTCCATGTAGGCTGCAACTGTTGGCAATCTGAAAATAAGACAATCTACCGCTTAAATTTACTTACAGATAGCCATACCTAGGAAAAAAGAAACATATAACTTTGAAACCTTCTCATGCTATTATGTAGAAGTGCAATATCAGGTAGTGTAGATTCTTTTTAAGGGGATTAGAAGGATAAAGTGCTACGAGGACATTAAGGATTCTGAGATACTGAATAGATAAAGAGAAACAATAAGCATATAAAATGTACATTTACTCCTCAAATATTTAGTGGTTGTAAAGACTCTTTAAAATATCAGCTCTAGTATTATTAGATACCGATAGAGCCAGATCTTTGAACTTAGTAATTCCTTTTTCAGAGATCACATTTTCTGTAGAATTGGCCAAAGATCTCAGATTCGAGGAGGGTAATATTTTGTCTTCAGTCAAGTAAATACAAGGATGTTAATGTTATGATATCACTAGCAGCTCAAGGTATTAATCCACTTCCAAAAGACAGCGAGAAAATATAAAAAGTTCAGCAGAATAAAATTGAAGTTTCTGAAAATATTTTGTGGGTAAGCAGGAAATACCTGAAAAATTTGTTGTTGAATATGATGATCATTCCACAATTCAATACCTCTCAAGGTGCCAATGTGACGTTGAATAAATTAAAGACAACAATCCAACTTCAGTCGTGACTTCTGATCTTTGCTGCTGAACTGTTGCATTTGTGTAGATCTTTGTTTCAGATTAATATAATGTTTTAACAAAATCAACATGAGGTAACAACTTGGAAGAGTTATCAATCATTCAGATCACCAATAATCTCCACATGAACAGGCTCCATCCTTAAAATGGTGGAAGCGGTGCATATCACGTACAATAATTTCTCGTTTCATGACAAGCGAGATGTACTTTGTTGCACTATGGCAGTCCCCACAAACCCGAAGATTTTTCCTGATGTGAATAGTTGTACCAGCAGTTGTATTTAAAAGCCCAAATGAAATAGCAAGCTTCTCACTGTGGCTCTTTAACAATTGCTCCTGAACATCATCTTCCACATCGTGAATTGAATCGGTATCAGGTATATACCCAGCAGCTTTAATCCTATCAAGCAATTTCTCAAGGTAAGCATAGATCTTCTCAGACTGAGGATGGCTAGTGCTTCCCGAGTAGAATGTGTGGACCTCGTTTCTTAAATCAACTAGACTGCATCCAGGTGTCTTTTGAATACCTTTTCTCTCCATCATAGTTCTGACTTTAGCAACTTTATGCCACATTGAAGCCGTGGCATACATATTAGCAAGAAGCACATGATATCCACCATCATCAGGATCTAGCTCAAATAGCTTGTCTGCTGCCTTCTCCCCCAGCTCTACATTTCTGTGAATCTTGCAAGCTCCCAACATTGCACCATAGACGTTGAGTCCTGGTCTGACAGGCATATTATCGATGAAGTCCCAAGCTTCACCGAGCTGACCAGCTCGACCAAGTAGGTCAACCATTGCCCCATAATGGTCCATTGAAGGCTCCAAGCTGTATTCTTCCCTCATGATCTTGAAATAATTGCGCCCCTTATCTACAAAGCCAGAGTGGCTGCAAGCTGAGATGACACATAGAAATGTTATGTCATTAGGCTTTACATGCCCCTTTCGCATTTCGTCAAATAATTCAACAGCTTCCTTTCCAAAGCCATGCGTGCCATATCCATCTATCATGGCATTCCATGTTGTAACATGCCTATCATCCATTATGTCAAATAGCTTTCTTGCTGTGTGAACTGCTCCACATTTCGCATACATGTCAACAAGTGCAGTGGCTGCAAAAACATTCCTGTTTAAACAAGTCCTTATAGCAAATCCATGGATCCACTTAGCTTGACGCAATACGGATAATTCAGCAAGAGCTGTAACAACACTCACCATTGTAAATGAGTCGGGTTTGATGTTCAGCAGATGCATTTTACAAAAAAGAGTTAATGCATCCATTACACACCCGTTTTGTGCATAGCCCAATATCATAGCATTCCATGAGACAAGTGTTTTTCCAGTCAAGTTTTTAAACAATCCAGCTGCAATATCCACTCTTTGGCACTTGCAGAACATTGAAATCAATGAGTTAACAACTGCAACATTAGAACCAAGACCTAGTTGGTTGACTAATTTGTGAACAAATTGTCCAAGCTCGAGATTCCTTGATTCAGCACATGCATGTAAAGTGCTCATAATAGTCACATTCGTCGGTTTGAATCCTTCATCCAACATTCTCCGGAAGATAATAAGAGCTTCATCATAATATCCATTCCGTGCATATCCGTCTATCATAGCATTCAGCGATACAACCGTCTTAGAATCAATCTTATCAAAAACCAACCTAGCAGTGCCCACCGACCCACATTTAGCATACATATCAACCAAAGCAGTCAAGACATTCACAAGCGACTCAAACCCGTTTCTATAAACATATCCATGGATCGACTTCCCCATTCGCAAGGACCCAATAGCAGCACAAGCAGGCAAAATGGACACAACCGTAACCGAATCCGGCCTATGACACCCTTCCTCATGCATCCTCAAAACCAACCCCAACGCTCTCTTCGACATCCCATTTTGTGCATACCCAGCGATAACCGTATTCCAACAAACCAAATCCCTATCAGGCATTCTATCAAACATCTTACATGCATCACCAACCATCCCACATTTCGCATAAAGGTTCACTATACTAGTCATTGCAAACAAATTATCCGAAAACCCATGAAGAATCAACTGTGCGTGCACCTGTTTACCCTTTAAAACATCAGAAGTATCTGCACAAGCTTTTAACAAATACCCAAAATTGTAAATTACCGGAGTTACATTATCATATCTCAAACGAGAGTAAAAAGATAAAGATGAATCCACAGTAGATTGACGAGTATGAGCTTTAAGCATGGTATGATACATGGGGTCAACTTTGAGTTTAGCAAAGTCAAAGACTTTGGTAGCATCATTAAGGCTACCATATTTGGTAAATAAGCTGATTAATTTGGTTTCGAAAAGGTGTTCGTTATAAAGACCATTTTTAATGATGTGAGGGAGAATTTGGTGAAGCTCTTTCATGGAAGTGCAGAGCTCAAGAAGGATTGCTGTTGGGTGCTTATATATATGTGATGGGATGTGGATCCTTTGAGCTAGAGACGGCGGCTGGCCGGGAATCGCCGCCGGTAGCGGTGGTGGTGGTAGAGTGGTGGAGCTGGCTAACAGCGGGAAACTCATGAAGCTTAGCGACTTTCTCTGGGAATCTACAGATAGAGCTAAGTACAACTTCCAAAGTGCAGCGTACTATGGAGTTGTAAATGTCCATTAATAATCATTGGAGTATTATCTTTCAGCTTCTATGTTCTTGCAATTTTTTTCTTTAATCTAAACAATTTATATTTTGAGAATATAAGGACTTTCATTTTTAAAATATTTCTTTCGGGACATACTTAACAAAAAATCACCAATCAATATTTGAAAGATCTGATCATCGGATAAATTCTATATTTATTTATTTACTTTTTTTTATATGAATAGATATTTTATTTACTCTTGAAAGGAAAAAATAAAGAATTAATTAAGATGTCAACAAAGATAGTTACATCTTGTAGTGGTATTTTGTTCTCTTAATCGACTTCGTTTTCAAAATCAAACCAAATATGCTTTTGGAAACCAATAACAACTCAAAGTAAGGTTTTGACACGATTAACATTAATGTTCTCCAAAACAAATTCTCACAATATAATTCCAACATAATACTTCCTTCCAAATTCATCTAAGAACTTGTCCAAACTACTTTTGGATTTTTATTGGGTTTACTAAAATAAAATGTTTTTAAATTTTATTTCAGATATAAGTATGTTTCCAGAGAGTATTTTTCAAACACACTCGGACTAGTTCTCCAAACCTAAACTAGAACCAAATCCATAGGCGTCAAGATCATTTATAATGGCATTTTGAGGGATGTAATGTCCTATCTTACTGGTAGAAGTGAGGGGGATATCATGATACACTTGTTATTAGATACAATTAGGCGTGGCAGCCGAGCAGGGCGGGCGGATTAGGCGGGTCGAAAACGGGTAGTGCAAAAATGGATATACTATCTGACTCGACCCATATTTAATACGTATAGAAAATAGGTTAACCGGAAGATAATATGGATGCTTCTTAAATATGATCACTTTTGACGGAATTCCTGGTCTCTCAAACTTGAGGAACTCCTAATTTGAGTCTCTGTAAAGGGAAAAGTTAAATTCATTGATTATCCATTTTTTAAGTGGATAATATGGATCTTATCAATATTTGACCTATTTTTAAAAAGTTCATTCTCCAACCCATTTTTTAGTGGATAATCTGGATGGATAATCAATTTTTTATCCATTTTGCCACCACTAGATACAATATACCATGTTAAACTTGCAATCTAGTTTTATCCATTCTTTTAACATAAAACTCCTCCTGTACTCTGGACGTGATTAGAGAAAGGTAAAGAGAAAATAGACCACGAGCACAGATGCAGGGTAATTTGAACCACAACATTAACAAACGAGATATCTAGTAAGCCGGATCAAGAAGAAAATTCTTTTTCCCCAATAATTTAATTCAAGAGACAAGTAGAATCTCTTATTCTATGATTCAATGGAATATATACACACGAAAGCTTGTGCTATTCTAAAAAGAAAATGGACTTGGTACTAGGTGATCAATAAGCAACTGCCTCCCTCATTCTTTTTGGAAGCAATTGCCTATACTACATATTTTACATATGCTTGCAAGTTTCATATTTGCAATACATCTTTGAAAGTGGAAGCAAATCTTTCTGAAGCATTTGCCACTTTGATGCTGGAAAATGCCTTTTGCTTCCTAAAACCCAGCAGGCATTCTGTGCCTTAACATTACATAGCGATAACCTATATGGGATTCTTCCCCTTTTGATCATAGGCAAGTTAAATGAAATTCTTCCTTTCTGGAAAAAGAATTTCCTAATTCAGATCCTTGCTTGTAGGCTTAACTTTTCAAGGGAAAGAACAATGTGAAGGATGCTCTACTCTAGAATTGACTACTAAGCGTATTTTCATTCTGTGTTGCGTTCTGAACCTTGCAGAGTTTATGGTTCAGGAGACTTTGTAGACACAATAGCAGGCGGACTTAGTTCCAACGGAGTCTTGCCAAGTTCAGAATAACTTCCTATGCATATGGTATCACCTCTACCATGCCAAATGCCATCTTGGACATTGTTCATCTCTAATGTTCTAGCTTCCTGCTCAATAAAACAACAAAAATTAAACCCAAATTACAGAACAAAATATGACATCAAGCTTCACAAACTACAAATCGTAATTGACTTAGATTGTGTTTTCTGGATCAGTCTATGCGCTTTTATTCAGCTTTTCTTGGGGACCGAGGGGTGAGACAAAGAAGGTGAGAAGCAACAGGCAACTTCATGCAACCATATAAGTAAACTCCACTTTGCTGTTCTTTAATGCAGATTGAATAAGAGAACAAACCTGAGATAAGGTGCAACATGGACAGGTCAAATGGAAGATGCAATCATCCAAAGAACTATCGCCCTGAAGAAGTGTAAAAAGAGTAAGAGTTAGCTATCACAATAGTCAAAGACAAATGATAACAGATCAAGTAAAATACTGTGGCTCATCCACATGTGGAACCACTCATTAGCATTTCAGCAGCTCAAGATACAATAGAGAAGATATGAGAATGCGCAAATCCGATAAAGAGGGTAGGTTTAAGAAGAAAAACTGAAGAAGATCAATGATTCTTTGCACAAACCAGGTTGCAGAAAACGATTAATAATACCAGGCATGATAGATTGATTAAAATTTTCTTCTGAGGACCAAGTCAGGGGCGTATGCACCTTGTTGCGTGGTGTCACGGGACACCGCTTCATCGAATATTTTTAGAAAAATGAAAATATTGAGGATAAATATAAAAAATGACACCGATAAAGATCAATGATTCTTTGCACAAACCAGGTTGCAGAAAACGATTAATAATACCAAGCACGATAGATTGATTAAAATTTTCTTCTGAGGACCAAGTCAGGGGCATATGCACCTTGTTGCGTGGTGTCACAGGACACCGCTTCATCGAAATTTTTTAGAAAAATGAAAATATTGAGGATAAATATAAAAAATGACACCGCTTATCGCATTAGTCCACTTTTTAAAATTATGACACCGCTTATGAAATATCCTGCGTACGCCACTGGACCAAGTATCTTGTAATCAAGAGCATATCCTACATACAAACTATGAGAAAATTTTATCATGCAGCCATTTGCTCTATTCTTTCCATGCTTTGAAATTTCAAATTACCTAGTAATATTCACTGGTGAAAACACAAGCTTGAAGTCAGAAATCATCAGAAGACCCTCTCAGACAACGAGATAAAGGAAAGAAAAAGTAAAGTACTTCGAGTAATCTACTATTTGACATTCACATGACACAAATTCAAATACGTGCTGGCTGCTTCCCTGGGGTTAATATGCTGACCCAGAAATAAACTTAAACTGAAAGAGGAAATTAAAGGTGACTGGACTAGTGGCATTACAGACACCAGTTCTTTGCTGCAGCTTTCTGCTAACCTCCTCTAAAGCAAGACCGTTTAAAACAGGTCAAGAGTCATCCATCTTACCCCCATAAAGTAAGTGGCAGGATGCAAAATAATGGTGCTCGGGAGGATTGACAGTGCATACGTTCAAAGTGGATCAAGAAAAGTACTGGTGCTTGCACAGGCTCATGAAATATAGGATGTGTGCATTCCTCAATTTAGTTTTTGTTTATAGGATTATTAAATCAAGGGAAACACTTCAACATCCAGATAAAGGGAAGTATAACAGAGCTCACTCCCAATTCTACATTAGGAAAATTGCGACCCGATTCATTCTTTGAGGATCAAACTTTAGGTATCTAGAACATTGATTATTCCCTTCTCAATTTTCCCAAACCTCTATAACCCTTCAACTACTCCCCACTTCCTGTATTCTCAAAGCTACTTCTACTTCCTCTTAACCCTATATTTTATAGTAATCTTCTGCAAACCACCTCATCGATATTTCAACCACTTTCCCCCACATAGCTTGTGCAACTCTAGAAAGGATATATGATCAAGCATACAGAAACAGAAAAGTAGCAATAAAAGCAAAAATAAGGAATTAAAATACTCACTCTGATATTGAACTTGTTTCTCATTTTTGTGCGGTGATAACCCAAATATAATCCAACTGAGATTATAAAACCACCGCCTATGTAGAGAAAGCAGTGCTTCTTTGTGACAATGAATGCTAGCATGCTTAGGAGAGCAACAAGACTGAGAATCAAATAAATAGAACCCTGCAAGACCAGTATATAAATCTGTTTCAGTACACGAGTATTTAGTGTATGCTGTCAAACCAATGTTAAAGTACTAAGCAGTAAATTTTCATCCGTTCTTATTGAGAGTAACAGATTATACAGACATTGTGTTATGGAAGTCACCAATCCAGAGTCCACTATATTATTTTCTATTTTTAGATGTACAATAATTAATCACCAAAACCCTTCTAGTTCTAACCAATCTATGTTGACGACATAGATTAACAATTTAAGATAGATTACCATTTACCAACTACAATACATAATTAAAAGAGGCCATAGCTAATCGATATAATAGAAACGGATTTAAAGAAGACTTTGACCACGAAGGATCACAAAGAAGTTGAGGGGGTGGGTAGGTTTAACAACATTGACTAACATGGATTTAAATGTGATAAAAATATTGACCTGAACAAAGCAGGAACCAAAACCAGCACGTTTCATATTCTTCCCAAATCTGTACCATGGGCAGCTGCAATACATGAACAGAAATTAAAATCACCACCATAATCACAACCACTTATTTGATGATGAATTAAGAACAAGAGAAAAATGTCCAATTGAGAAATTAAAATAGTCCATTTCATGGCTATAAATAGAAAATTCAAGGAAGTCAAATTTGGCAAGACTGCTAAATTTTCCTGTACTGAAAGAGGGTTTGATGGTTTCCTATCAGCTGAAATCAATTACACCTTCCCAAAAGATGTCCCCTATCCAAACATAGGCTAACAATAACAAAAGAGGAAATGAAAAAGAGCCCAACTATCTTCTCCATATCTGTTCTATACAGAAAATGATCACTTGAATTTCCAAAGAACCAAATTAGAAACTAAAATTTAATCAATCAATCAATCAATCGAACCTCAATCTCAACCTAATTGAGAAAAAGTTACTAACTTCAATTAACAAACCCAAGAAATGAAAAAGAAACTAAATGGAAGAGCAGCAAAACGAAGAACACAACAAAAGTGAGAAAATTTTAGTCAATACCGTAACCAAATGGTCCAAAATACAAAACCCACATCCGAAAATGAAAAAAAACATGAAATCAACAAGAAAACTGGAAAATGAAAATTAGGAAAAGAAAAAGAATAAAACTTTACCAAAGGGATTGAATAGCGATGCGACGGTCCTCAAGAGAGTCACAGAAAAGCTCGCCTTCCCACATTCTCAAAACAGCTCCTCCTCCGTAATCATAACCAACATTTTCCTCATCCCCATTATTCAAATTCAACTTCACCCACTGTCCCTTTTGTGCCTGTAGTGCCACCGTTGAACACAACATATCAAAATCCACCACCCTCACCCCTTCCAACAACCTCTCTCCCTCTTCATCCACTTCTCTCTTTTCCATCACATCCATTTTCTTCCAAAATTGCTCCTTCAACTGCACCTCTCCTTATAGCAGATTTATATAATCAACGGAATTAGTATTCTGGATTGAGGAGCAGTTTTGGTCCGAATATAACGGAATAGATATAGATGAGTTATGTAATACCAATAACAATTATTAGGGATTGAAACAGAGTTATATATTTGGTAATGAGGATCGATGTGGAGCATAATCTGTTGAGTTAATTTATTGGGAGGAGGATATCGTGGCTGGATAATTGGTGGCGATTCTATTATTGGTAAAAAATAAAAAGGCATTTTGGTTGGCGCGAGAAATAATGATGGTGGGCCCCTTATTATGGATGACGGGTACAGCTGGTGACACGTCTACACGTGAATATAGCTTCGTTAAAGTATACTTTCAAAAAATGACGTAAGAATAACATTCCTTACACTATTGATTATTTATATCCTTACGGTCATATACCCCTACGGTCATACTTTGGATTTAAATATACCCCTTATTTCAACGAAGGGACACGTGTCATCGTCTTGTTGGTTAATTTTAAATATCTCTTAATTAATTAAAAAAACTCATTACTCATATCCGAAAAATAATTTTTTTTAAAAAAAAACTTGAAAAAACTAAAAAAAAGTTTTTACTAAAAACTGAAAAAAACGAAAATATTTTTTTTCCAGTTTTTACAAAAAACTGCTTTAAAAAAACTGAAAAATATTTTCTAAAACAATATTTTTGTAAAAACTGAAAAAAAATATATGTTTATTTGTAAAAACTGAAAAAAAAATATTTTTCAGGTATGGGTAATGGGTCATTTTAATTAATTAGAAGATATTTTAGAATTGACTAATAGGATGATGACACGTGTCCTTCCGTTTAAATGAGAGATATATTTGAACCCAAAGTATGACCGCAGGGTATAAATAACTCAATAGTATAACGAAGGGATTTATAGCTTTGTTCTTTCGAGGGATTTTACTTGGCTGAATTAACGGTCAAATATATCTGACTCACATTAAATCAATAAGAAAAGCATTCATTAATTAATGCATCATATGGAGAAAATTTTAGTGCAACATGTGATTCTTGTTCTTGGATTAACAGAGGAATTGTTTGTCTTATTCACACCATCATAATTTTTTTCTTTTTTCCACAAATTCAATAAGGAAAAAAGATCATACACACTGATGTTTATATTAGACTAAATAATACTACATGATAAATGTTATTTATACACACTACACATTTAACTATGATGAATTTACTCATATTAAGTTATATATAACATAATAATTAAGATGTTTCATATAAACATCGACTATGAATAGCTCTTTTTCGTCAATAATAAAGTAGGCAATACCTAATACGAAGATAATATAGATCGAACTCATAATAGCTAAAAGTATTATATATATATATATATAAATAATAGAAGTTAAAAACATAAGCTCGTCGGCAAAGTTAAAAAATCTTAATCTTGGTCCGTTTTATCTTAAATTTAATGAATTAATTATTATTTTTAGGTTTTTGGCATTTATAATCATTAGCTCAACTAATTTGAATTCACCATGTAAGTCCATTAAGGAGAAAAAAATATTTCTACTAAGAAGTTGTTGATTTTCCTGACCTTAAACCCCATAACCAAAAGGTGAAAATTCACCCTTTGATTGCATATTATTGTGATTCATTCATTGTGACTTTTGGACCACTTGAAGCAAAGGATTGTAAATTGAAAGGGGTTGACTTAATGATAGCCAGTGTGAAATGTGAGCCAGCCTATAATCTATTAGCTGTATCTATATGTTGTATTTGGTGGGTGTTGTGCTAATTATATTATATTATAGGGGTCTCAATCATAATTGATCATGGTTTAAATGCTCTTTGATTCCTTGGGACAACGTTATAAAATATTAATTTGTTACTGGATCCTTTTTGAGATAAAGTTAGAATATTATTTTGTCTACTTATAAATGGGATGATGAATATGACCAATAATAAAGCAACTTATATTAAATAATCGTGGTGACTAATGATTGAATAACTTTTATCTTGTATTTGATTTGTTTGGACGAGGACGGAAAGATAATTGAAATTTAATATCTTATTCATGGAAGTTTAAATGATGCAAAGAAAATGTTAGTCCACTAACCCTGCCTTTCTTCCTAACGCCAACGAATTGGGTCGAATTTGTTACGTCTAATTCAAACCTTATATGTATGTAAAAATAAATTAATAAAAATACGTATATATATAAAGAACAAAAACCATTGATTTTAATCTTAACTCCGTCACCTGCTTTCTCCCTCAACTAAGAATCAAGATGATGCCAACCAGAGGGAATTCCTTAGACTACAAACTCAATAGAGAATTGAATTTCAAGTAAGTAATCCTTTGTCTCCTAAAAACAAGGCTGTAAAGCTGAAACAGACCAGAAAGCAAACAAAACATAACAGTTTCGCTAAGTAAATGATCCTTTCACGTAATATAACTCGCCACAATTCCTATAGCCTCTTTTCAAGTTTCTGCTCACAAAAGCCTAACTCCAATTTACCGTTTTCTAGTCATTTCTATTTTCGGTTTTGATACAAACGGAATTTCGTTCAAAGGTGGCATTACTAAAAAAAAGGAAGAAGGAAATAGGCGTGGTTTAGATTCTTGTTTGATGACTTTTCACTTTTTCAAAAATCGAACATGTTCTCTTATGCAAATCTTCCTTTGTCACAACACTTTAATTACACAAACTGAAAGCAGTGTTTTAGGGAAGAGTTTTATGGTTAAAATGTCACAATTTAAAACTCACGTACACGTTCGAATCACTGAAGCCACTATTATTTGATTAGACAAATCTTGATTTTAGAAAAAGAACTCTTATAGGGCACTTAAAGGGCATGAAACCTTAGTTTAATTGTGTTCAGTTATTTAAATTAAAAGGTCTCATTTGATTCAATTCATGAACCCACTATGAGTGTACTACATATTATTTTTATATGATAGTATAGCTAGATAATAATAACAATAATAAAGAAATTGGGGGTGTATAAGGCATATAACAAAAAGGATTCCTCATTCATAAAGTCACAAAATAAAAAGGAAGCAGGAACAGTTTGCTTCTTTCAACAAGCGGATTTTGGTTTCTTGTTTAACAACCTAATTCAAGTTGTGTAGATGGTTCAATCACCATTCAATAAAAGTAGGAAATCAAAAAGAAGTTCTAGAAATGAAAGTGCGTTTACTCCTTTTTACCCTTTCAAAGATGGGGAAGGATTCTTGATCAAGTCCAAGTTGGTTTACCCATGTTTTTGTATTTAATTAAAAAAACAAAGCAAAAGCAGTGGTGGGGAACCAAAGTGGCCTAGTGGACAATGACAAAAGAGTTGTCTATTTGGATAAGATTCAGATGAAACACCTCAACTGCTGCACATGAATGGTAAGCCCTTTTGTAAGTTGCAACAATTTTGGCCATTATTTCCAAAAGGTCACCTACACATGGACCAATTGACCATACTATTCTAGTGAAGTTGTGGCCGACTAGGAGAATGTGTTTTTCCTCAATCTTTCGCTTTCGGATCTTTGATAATGCCATTTTGTATACTTAAAGAATTTGAGCGGCTCAAAATTGACGCTTTCATATTCAACCTACTTTCTTTCACTTGATTGGGTCATTCCTGAAATATAAACACGAGACCTAATATTTGATAGGTTTAAATATTAGAGTTTAATTCATGACTCGGAAATTTCTACTTTTGTTTATGTTTCTTGGACGGCGGAATTAAATTTTTCATTGTCAAACTTTTGGTTTTGCTGTTCGGCTTTTGAGTTCTAAATCAGCCCCTCCAAAAAAAACATGAAAAGAAATTTGAAATTATTCTTGGGGATGAAATCGATGTTTAGATAATTTGTTTTGATTTGATTTGAGAATAGGTTGACAGAAAACAAGTCAAATTTCCTCTCCCTTCACCACCCCTCAACGTACATACAGTTATTTGAAACTGATAGCTCCATCCAGCTCCAAGAATGGATGGGGTAGTTGCCTAAAATATAAGTGACTAAACGAACAATGAAAAGCATCAGCTACCGCTGGAGGAGTGAGTTTCAATCAATTTTCAAATGAAATAGAACCCTTGTGAAATAGAAATGCTATAATAAGTTACAGAAGTTGCTTTTGCAGAGCTGTAGTTGAACAAACACAGAGAAAGAAAATACTAAGTTTTCCTTGTAGAAGACAGTAAACCAAATTATACTACAACATAACAAAGCCACTTTAATGTGCGAACTGGCACACTGCAGGTTATGTCTTCATGGCAGGTCTCACCAGGCCCAACCCGCTTCCACTCCCCAAGTGTTTGAAGTCTTTTGCTTCAAGATTATCTCCATGGCCAGCAAACCCGGTTCCTCCCTTTTCCACATTCACCAGATTTCTATCTTTACATGGTTTGTCACAGACCACGCAAACCTTGTCTACAGCCACAAATTTCTCTGCACATTTCTTGCAGAAGACATGTCCACAAGTATTAAGTGCTACAAGTGACAAAGTATTGGTTAGCGTGACCTTGCAACTGGGACATATGAAACTCTTGTCAAGAGACTTGGTTTTCTTCTGTGCACTGGTATCTTCAGTAAAGTGAATAGGGAAAAGGTTTTTCATCTTAAGTTTTTCGTTCCCTTCAGGACAAACTGTGCTTGTGGATGGGGCATCCACTTTAGCAGGTGCATCTGGTGTTGCAGAGGGCAGCCAAAATGCTTTCATGGTTCTAAGTGCTTCCTCCTCATAAGAAGTGGTCTTCACGCTGTTGGCCCCATGGAATCCATTCTTGTCTCTGTTGTAGTTCTTATCGTTGTACTGGGGCACTGGACCATGATTCTGTTGATCAAATGCCTCAAGCTCCCTGGCTTTCTGCAGCATCAACCCCTCCTCTTCATCTTCTTTTTCTTGCTTCTGCTGAGCAGCGTGAGCAGCCAACTTTCTGCAAGACAAAATAACAGCTTCTCAAATGAAATTTTCCAAAGGATGATTCTGAGATTACACACAAGTATGTTCCCACCCCACACCCCCTTTCACTCCTCACTGCCCTTTTTTCACAGAGAAGTGCAGGTTGAAGAAAGATCTGCAGATGTATTAGTCAATGTTATCCCTTCTAGGTGGAATGTGGACAACTGTTTTGTTAGTAGAAGCAACTAGCAACAGACATTGCAACTCAAGATCATGTAACTATATCCTTCGAACAGGCTGCTGTGTTCACTTGAAAGGGATTCCAAA